ATCCGTTTGAGGCGTTTGGTTCAATCTATAGACGAATCCGGCGAAACTACCGGAAGTAAGCGGGCGCCATTACTGAGCTGTTGCTGGGTAGCGTTGCGCCCAATTGCCTCCTACCCAGATAACAAACTGACATTGAATCAACGTGGAAATATGACATCGAAACAACGTTGATCTGACATTGTTTTGCTCATCGAATTAACGTTGAACCAACGTCAGACGCGTCATTCTTTCAAAACTAACGGAAAATCAACTTGAAATCAACGCGTTGTTTCAACGTTATGAAAGCAAACCAATTTTCGATTTTCATTTAGCTTTGAGGAATGCCGCGTCTGACGTTGGTTCAACGTTAATTCGATGAGCAAAATCAACGTTGTTTCAATGTCACGAGAGACGTCGTTTCCACGTTGATTCAATGTCAGTTTGCTGTCTGGGTATTGTTTTAGTTGCAACTTGCGTCCACTGGAATAAACAGCCCGCGATTTACGACTGTCACTAACGTTACAACGTTACCCGTTGTATAATGTCGAGTGGGTAAACAGTTTCCGTTATAAATTGTTTCAATGGTGGCAGTAAAATTTCAATTTTGAAGAGAAAACACTGTGAAAACCCCGGGTCGACTGCCCCTGTCTGGAGCCGTACGGTTTACAGATTTCCTGGGCGAGTACAAGACGTGGACATTCGCGTATAATAACAATTATTTAATGACATAAGTAAAAAAAATATAATAAATATGTGATATAGTGATCAGCAAAATCTCCTCTCTTGCTATTTTTTCTATTCAATTAACATGCTATGGTCATTAAATGGCTTTCCTGAGCTAAATGTAGCGTTATGTGACATTTTTCTCCTGCTGTTATATTGACCTCTTTCCATGGTTTAAAAACACTAATTGGTCGAGATTATGTATACTTTCTAGCTGTAACGTTACCATACCCTTGCCTGTTGCAATGTGAAAATGAGATAAATAATGGACACAAATGAAAAACATGAATTTGTTTATTTGATTTCATTCATTTATTTATTTATTGTTGCCAAATGGACAGATCTTTTTATAGTTTCCTCGTTAGCAAACGTTAGCCTAGCTAGCTTGCCAAGCTATTTTCATAAATAACGTTAATCTGTAAGATCGTTTGTACCTTCATCTGTGACTGGAGGCCACTGCAGTTACAGATCAAACCAACAAGTCATTCTGCCTGGCTGTAGCTGTCATCGAGGGTGAGTTCGCGTTATCACCGAGGTTTGTTTACATACCTGTGTAACAGCTCAGTAATGGCGTCACCACAAGATGGCAGCCTACACAGAACGCTCGTCGGATTCATCTATACTAGGTGTATTTGACCTGGAGACTAATTTCCGTAGGTCTGGCAACAACTGAGGTATTGCTCTTCGGGGGTTAAATTGTGTCAGATTTAATGGCAAGGTCATTGTGTGAATACTTCACATTCTGAAATGACTATTACTTTTTTGAGCTAGTTAATATTCTATAACTCTATACCAATTAAATATTATATGTTTTTGTACTTTTACCAGTGTTTTTATTCTTTCAAAAGTGTTTGTTGACTTGATTAGTTAAGGTGCGTATAGATTTAATTATTTGTCCATTTCCAAAAGAAAAGTATACGTTGTGACTCCAGAGGGGCCTAACTTCAACATCTGTAGGCATTTAATTCATGAATTTGGGGCGTTCCCTATTTAGTCACAAGAGCGACAGATGGGGCGTCACATATATTTGTTTGACAGGGAAGCTGTGCGCAAACAGTAATATTTATATTATTTTTCAAAAATTAAAAAAAAAACAGGGCACTTTCTCTCCAGGAATAAAAAGGGCAGGTGCTCAAGCGTACTTTGATGTCTGTGCGCTCTTGTTTATCAGTCACTCAACAATAGTCTCTAAACCTTTCAGGCAATTTGATTTGTCTCTCGGGTCTGCAAGGTTTAGGAATCTGTTCCTCTCTCTGAAATGTTTCATAGTTCTCTTTGCATTCCTCTTCACTTCCCTTTTTCTCCTTATCATAATTCGGCCCTTGAGCACATTTAATTTCACAATCCAATGTTGTTGTTTCCACATGTAACGGAGACCAGCTAGTAGTTGCTGTGCGAGTAAACCTCACTCCCCTGATCTCAATAGGCGCTCTAGCGACAGACTGCAGTCTTTAGCCTCCTTGTTAGAGCGCCCGACTCTCACGCCGGAGACACGGGTTCGAGGCTTGAGTAGGATCCGGGTGTAGGGGTTACATTGGTGCCGTGACCCGGATGAGAGTGAGGTTTAGGGGGGTGAGTGTAACGGAGGCCAGCTAGTAGTTGCTGTGCGAGTAAACCTCACTCCCCTGATCTCAATAGGCGCCACTAGAGGATGCAGTCTTTAGCCTCCTTGTTAGAGCGCCTGACTCTCATGCCGGAGACCCGGGTTCGAGGCCCGCTCGGAGCGGGGCGAGTAGAATCCGGGTGTAGGGGTTACATTGGTGCCGTGACCCGGATGAGAGTGAGGTTTAGGGGGGTGAGTGTAACGGAGACCAGCTAGTAGTTGCTGAGCGAGTAAACCTCACTCCCCTGATCTCAATAGGCGCTCTAGCGACAGACTGCAGTCTTTAGCCTCCTTGTTAGAGCGCCCGACTCTCACGCCGGAGACCCGGGTTCGAGGCCCGCTCGGAGCGGGGCGAGTAGGGGTTACATACAGACAGAAACTTCTTGGCACGTTGTATTCTGCACACACTTTCCTCCATTGGGTGACTGTACGACAACGCCAATGTGCTCTGAAGTCTTTTCTGTGGCCCTGTCCATTCCGGGCCACCATACCTGTGCTCTCAGGTGTTGTTTTGTTCCTACCACACTAAGATGACCTTCATGCGCATGGTTTTGAGCAAGGGCTATAAATCGCCTCTAATGCTTTGAGGTCTGTGATAGGGTTGCCGCGGTGAGGAAAATTTCCCACCGGTTAATCGACGTGTGACAACACCGGTAATCCCGGTGTCACCGTGGAGGGCAGGGCGGGGGGGTTAAATAGCTTTTAAACGCGTGCGCGTTATACTTTCACTTTCGAAATAAGCGTCAATTGCTTGAATGGACAAAAAAAACAACTCGCTGATAATAAAACTTTTATTTATAGACTTTTATTAGCATAACGAACGAATAAAAATAACCCCATGCATAGGCTGAAAAAAGTGAAAATCTGCAAAATGTGGGCCCAAACAAATAAGAACCATAAAACGTTTATTAACGAATAAGAAAATAAAATAGGCCTAAATAAATTACACAAAGTTTAAATGAGATAAAACCAATTAAAAAGAGACGAATATAAAATAAAAAATTCAAACTGGACCTTAGCCTACATAAATGACATACTTTCACTTTCGAAATAAGCGTCAATTGCAATTCAGCGTCAATTGCTGAAATGGACAAAAAAAAACAACTCGCTGACAATAAACTTTTATTTAGACAGCACTTTTATTAGAATAATAAACGAATAAAATATAGACAGAACTTTTATTAGCATAACGAACGAATAAAAATAACCCCATGCATAGGCTGAAAAAAGTGAAAATCGGCAAACTGTGGGCCCAAAAAAATAAAACGTTTATTAACGAATAAGAAAACAAAATAGGCCTAAATAAATTAAACAAAGTTTAAATAAGATAAAACCAAATAAAAAGAGACGAATATAAAATAAAAACTTTAAAAACGACCTTAGCCTACATAAATGACAGCACTCTAAAAAAAAGTAAAACACTATAAATTGGCATTTATTAACATTAATATATATTGGCCAAAATATTGCCAAACAGGCGCTTTTGCATTGCGTTTTGACACCAAATCTTCCGCCATTATCTTGCTTTTCTGTAATTTGACTCGTTCTCGTCTCCACACGTGCTAAATGGAATCCTGATGCTTGCTGATCTGTGACGGCACGCGTTGCGCAGTTCATTTTTAATTATAATGCTCTCTTCAGAACTAAATAATTGAAAATTATTATTTTTAATTCATTCAAATAAATATTTTAGCAAAAATGAATACTTTAAAAAAAAAAGTCAAGACATCGCGGTGTCACGGTGGGAAAGTGATGTCACCGGTGATGGGGCTTAAAACCGGTAACACCGTCAACACCGTCTATCGCGGCAAGCCTAGTCTGTGACAAGATCCCACTTCCAGGCATAAACGTAAGGGTGCAATCGTTCACATACCCACACCAGAGTAAGTGATTGGCGCTCTGTTTGTGAATACCTTTGTTCACACTCACACAGGAACCATTGCTTCACGTTGGTCCAGAACTCGTCCTGCTCCAACGCCCTTTGGTCCGGCATCAGCAATGACTTCTGTTGGTGCGTCCCTGTCAAAGTAAGCCAGTGTTGTGGCCTCGTCCAACTTATCTTTGAGAGTTTTGAAAGCTTTCTTTTGATCGGTTCCCAAATTAAATTTGGTGTCTTTTTTGTCAGTCTGCGCAGAGGTTCTGAGGTCCTCCCAAACTGCGGTATGAAGCGGCTACTACAGCCAGCTAAACCGAGGAATCTCCTCACATCTGCCGTCGGGCCTGTGCCTCTGTATCTATCTCTGTATCTCCAGTGTCAAATTTACGCTCTCTCACAAACAGAATGGACAATAAAGTTAAACTTGAACTCATAAACAATAAATCACAGCTCTGTTGTCACACAAGGTTGAATGAAGAACAAGATGATAGAGTTGAAAAGTTAATAATCCACTCTGAAGACAGCTAATAAAACAACCTCTAACATAGACGGAGACCAGACAAAGAGTGACTGAGGCACAACTTATCAAAGCAAACCCAAACGAGATGATATAATCAAACACAGAACTCATAATGAACATCACCCTCAGCCGTCTGTATCAGACTTTGCATTTCAGATCATTGTTTTTTTTATTAAAAACATCAATCAATGTGCATTTCAACATTAGTTACAGTGTTTTATTAAAGGAAAGTAAGAGCCCAAAGTACAACAATCATCTGTTGAATATCATAAGGCCCCTTTAGATTTTTTTATCAAACATTTTAGACATCATGTTTCTCCATCAAAATACAGTAAAAAGTAAATCATATTTTTGAGCATTTTGAGACCCTTTAAGTCTTGTTCCTCCTGTAAGGCTGAAGATTTGGATTAACATTCATAATCAGAGGCTTTTATCAGTGACTTACAAATGAAGAACGAGCAGTTTGTCGTATAAGAGCCAATATTCATAATATACAAGTTTAGACTTCAGTCGAGATGCTGCTGAGAACCGACACTTTCCTCATCCATATTTCCACCCATTTGGGTTTTATAGCATTTTCCTTCAGTCGTCTCATGTTCGTCCTCTGATCGACTCTGATGTGTAACGATGGGAAAGAGGGAGAAGCATCTGTGTCTGAATCTGCACGAGCTTCATTCGGCCTGAACACACAGGATTGGTCAGTCAGGCGTCTGAGCTGTTCCTCAGTAAAGGGTCACTGGACTCTGCAGGTGTTTCTACAGGTTCTGGACAATCCAGAATCATAAGTGAACTCTGATCTCCGACCCCTGGATTAAACAGCGGACTGACTGATTCAGGGAATCTGATGTTCATGGTCAGCACATGTTTCCTCTCTTTGACATTGTAAAATGACAGCTGACCTTCACCATAATCTAACAGAACTCCCAGTCGTTCGGGTCTCGGCGTCAGTGAGAGAGAAACTGGTGGATCAGAGCTGGTGTAAAAGCCATTAGGACCGTCTGAACACAAGAACCAGTACCCGTTTGATGGAGTTACAGCAGATCTGTCTTTTGCACGAACATTTGCATGTTTCGTCACACCAATTAACCAGTAGTTTTTAGGAGGTTTATCTTCTAGTGCCAAATCTACCTCCCAATAGCGACGCTCAGATCTAAATCTTTGAGCTCCAACTGCACATAATTCATATGGAAATCCTTTTCCAGTGTGTTTATAATCTGGAGCGTCTCTCACTGTTTTACGGTCTGGATAAACCTTCAGACCTGGATGTGAACACTTAGGATCAATAGTGATCTCAACTGTGAAGAAAATAATGCAACAATCATTAATACACTTCAACGTGTGTGAGATCATATTTACAGATATGTGCATGTATGACTAAAGTTGATGAAATGCATATGTATAACTGAGATGATGTCATCATACCTGCATGTTTCCTCAGTTCTGCAATATTTATGTCTCCCACACCTAAAGTGAAAAATTATTTGAGACTTTAGAGAAAAAAAATCTACAAAACAAAAATTAGCTTATTTTTAGTGTGTGTGTGTGTGTTTGTGTGTGTGTGTGTGTGTGTGTGTGTGTGTGTGTGTGTGTGTGTGTGTGTGTGTGTGTGTGTGTGTGTGTGTGTGTGTGTGTGTGTGTGTGTCTGTGTCACAAACTGCTCTGAGACACGAAGGTTGAGGATTCAAATGCAGTATTTTTTAAAGGGTTATTATGGGCTGAAATATGTGACACCAGAAACAGAATTTCAATCATTTATATTTGAATTTGAATTGTTAAACTTGAATAATTGCATTGAAAAACTGAATTTCAATAACATAATTTGAAATTGTATTGTTTAATTTGAATCTTTGGATTGAAAAACTGAATCTGAATTGAATCATTTGAAATTGAATTGGATCTTCACTGAAAAGTAAACTCTCTATACATCTTCACATTCACTTCCCTTACTGAGACAGACATCCGGGTAGTTGGAGGATGAAGGAAGAGCAATCGAGTGCAGATCGATAGATAGCGTTCATTGGCGCACAGGACTCCTCTTGGGCCAATCAGCAGCCAGAGACCAATCCAGGAAACAACCCAACCGTCTCCATTGACTTTGCATTGCGAGAGGCTGCCTCCTTGTCATTTGACACAACAAACGACCAAAAAATACCTAAAAACTGCTGCGTAACAAGGTGGACAGCAAACAAGCCAGTTTTGAAAAAAAAAACCCCAGAAATACATTTCTATAAGCTGTCGACCCCAAACAACGTTTGTTTCAGGACATAAAAGTGGATCAATTGAGACCGAGCGCAACTAGTTCTCGAATTACTCTGAGAACTACGCCCACTGGAACACGATATGATATTGAAAAAATAAATAAAAACATTCATAATTTTAACCATCCACCACCCTATGTGAACCTGACAGGAGGAGATACATTGACAAGTTAAATTTGGGTTAAATAAGTTAAATAAGGCTGGCTTTTATGGTTCGGAAGCTTATAAAAATGTATTTCTGGGTTTTTTAGCTTGTTTGATGTAAACCTTGTGCACACCTTCGCTTATTTACAAGCGGAGAAACATTTTCTAGCGAGGAAACGGATCTGATTGAATCTACAGCACAAAGTGTATGAGCGTTGTGGACCCGGCTATTACCAACACGCTCTATAAATAACAAAACTAAATACTGTGCCATTGACTTTGACAGGTTTCAGTTGGTCAGTGCCGCAGTCTATTCAAGTTGCCTCAAAACAGCACTGCTCCAACACTGCGCCTGAACACACACCTCGTTTTCAGACCAGCAGCCGATGGGTGCACAAATGCAACGTATTCTCATCCTAGGGCGTCATATAGTGATGCTTTTGACATTGTGTCTAAATTAGACGCACACGGCACCTTTAAGCGTCAATATAACACACTTCGGTTATGGGTAAGGTTAGGGTTACACCACTAGGAGGCGCCTTCTGGCCCATATATATCTGCTTCTCATATTGACGCTAGAGGGTGCCATGTGCATCGGATGAAGACACAATGTCAAAAGCGTCAGTATATGACACCTTGGGGATGAGCCCAAATGGGCCCAAATTCATTTGCTATTTAAACGACGAAAAAATGATAAGTGCGTTGGGCTGAAGCTAGCAAAAAACGCCTGTGTTGCGCCTGGCGCCGCATTGTGCCGTGTGTGTGTGATGGGGCCAATGAAGTCTGGTGTCGACTGTCATGATCTGTGCACTGGTTCTGTTCTGGCCAATCAGCAGGGTCTCGGAGGACGTGTACTCACTCTCTGATGGCTGTGAATGGACATGTGGAGCAGCAGCCCCAGCACACCATGAAGAACTGCCCGCATCTGGAAACAACACCAGTCATACTTTCATGTGAGTGATTTCTACTAGGTCTCAGTGTCTTATGTTTACAAAAATAATTATGATATAAGCATGCATGAAAAAAAACCCTAAGATGAATAATATATTTCATATATTTCAGAGCAAAATGAAGGTTCTACTTAATATTCTAGTTAAAATGTATAAATAAATGATAGTTGTGGGATAAAAAAAAAAATTAAGAATCCAGAAGAAACTGTTTTACTCTGTAAATGCAATCTAATGAATATGGTATATTAGTGTTAATGTACAGAAATAAAATATTTTTAAGAATGTTTTCTCTCCAAGGTTAAAAAAAAAGTTTAATAGAAATACCACCCATTTGTGTTCAAGATTCCTGTTACAACATATTCAGGAGCATTTATTACTGTTTATAGCTTCAGATATTATTGCAGATATTGCAGTGATTACGCCTCTTCAGATACCTTCTTTTGTCTCTCTCTCCATAGATTCATCATCACGAACTAAAATGAGAGAACATTTCTTCAGTAATTTGCTGGAAATGTGTTGTGGTACAAGATAAACTGCACATGAGCATTTATTTGCAGCTTAGTGAATAGCTTCAGATATTATTGCTGATATTGCAATAATTACTCTTCTTCAGATACCTTTTGTCAGACTCTCCATAGTTTCATCGTCACAAACTTATAATGAGAGAAAAAATCATTTGGAAGATTTATTTATTAATTGTTTCCACAAATACTCTTATTATTTGTAAACCGCAATAAATGTAACTGTTAAGCTTAATCATATGTATTTTTGATCTTAAAAGGAAATATATGTAGTTTAATTACCTTTTTTAACGGGTTTCTTCACTGAAATAAAAACATTAAAATACCAACACATAAGGATAAAATACCTGCATCAAAATAAATAAATAAATAAATAAAGAAAGAAAGAAAGAAAGAAATTCTTGTACCTGTTAGTTTAAGTCTGTATTTGTACAGGATAAACCCAATCAAGCCCAGAACACAGATGAAGGCGATGATGAAAAGAGCCATCCATGGATCTGATGAATCTGGTGGATCTGAGGAAGACAATCCAGATCAATATAAACACCTTCAAAATCAACTTTGTCAACTTTTTAAACCATTTCATTCATAATCCATTTTTCTTCTGAAACGGATTTGATTTTTGATCGGATGGTTGAATAATTTGAAAGATTGTTGACTATCAAAGAAAGACGAGCAGTGGCCAGTTGCATTAACCGCTAAAACCCAACAAGTTAAGCTAACTCACTTCATTTGAGGAAACTGATTGACTCAATTCAATTAAGTTTATCAAAAACAATACCTATGAGTAGGCCTACTCTGAAATTTCATTTGAGTTCACTAAAAGTAGATATACATTGCAGTCTAGACATTAAGTGATTAAGTGATTATTGAGCATTAGTGATGAACACCCGGTGTTAACAAGCAGAATCACTGAAGGAAAGAGAAACACAAGAACTAACTCTCTTCCAACCGAAGCCTTAGATGAAATCAACTGAAGATAAAAGATGTTGAAGATCTGAAGATCTCAGTAGAGGAGGATTGAACAACTCCACAAACAGCATTACCAGCTGTACTTATTACTAACCAGTTTGACTTTTGTCATGTGTCTACAGAAGCTGTTATTGAGAATGAACAGAGGTTTAGATGATTATGATGTTTTGTTTCATTTAAAGACACATGATAGTGGTCAGTGTTTGCTTTAAGTGGGCTCTTGACTCACGTTTATACAGAAATTGTTCGAGAAGCTAAGGTAAGTCGCTGTTTGAATGGGACATTTTAAGACTCGCACCTGTAAGTCAATGTGGTTGTCAATCCCGAAAACCGAAAGAGTAACAGCCTTTTTTTCGGATAGCTACAAATATTTTTGTTCTAAGATTTTCCCTGACCTGAAGATATAATGGCTTGTATGTTCAATCTTCCTTCTCTAAGCTCTTCAGTCTTGAGAGACATTGAGCATGAGACCAGTTGAGCATCCGAGTGAGAGACGGCCGTCCAGCTGTGGACCGAATGCATCTCTCGTGGATTAATGGAGGCTGCTTCACAGCTAACAACTTCTTCGACTTCGACAACGAAAGCACCTGAAGATCTCCTACTCTCTTTAGTGAAGGAACTCTCTTTTGTTGCATGACTACTCATGCAACAAAAGGTAGGTGATGCTATTCCTTTAATGAGCTGTAGATGCATAAAAAATTAACGTCTCAGGTTACGACTGTAACCTATGTTCCCTGAGAACAGGGAACGAGACAATACGTCGAATGACGCAATGGGGAACGCCTCAGGTGTGACAGGTGTCTGAAATCAAATATCAACTCACAGTAATCAGGTTGACCGGCGACAGCCCGTGCATCATCAGCTTGAATGATGAGCGCGTCAAGCTGGATGTATAAGAAGGGTGCCTTGAAACCGTGACAACATCCTATCGTCTGAAGGGACTGTTGCAGGCAGGCCCGAAGCATGGCAACGAGACGTATTGTCTCGTTACCTGTTCTCAGGGAACATAGGTTACAGTCGTAACCTGAGACGTTCCCTTTCGAAGGGAACTCTAAAATACATTGAGGAAGTAAGAGAGGGATCAAAAAACAGGAAGGTCAATAAGACCTAAGACCTGATGACCCCCTGTGTGGGGAGCTCCGAAACATGAGGGCTCATGCCAGGAAGGCCGTACATTGTGCGGCCTGAAACACGACGACCATAGCATGTGGAAGCTCATCCTTCAGGAAGGTCAGATGCCAATAACCTGACAGACCCACAATGTGGGGCTACCTTCGAAAAAGAAAAAAACACCAGTTGTGGGAGATAGCTTGAACAAGGGAAGTGCCTGTCGTAATGTATTGCGACAAAGGACACATCTAGAGTGGGACCAGGAGCGAAGAACCGGAGTCTGAGCCACATAAAAAAGGGGGGGGGGGGTACGAAGCGTACAGCGCAACTCCCTTCCATAAATATGGACAATGCAAACACGAAAAGTGCATGTGCATAGCCATTCAGGAACCAGGAAAGCCTGGTGAGGCCTATAACCCAGCGACCACAGTATGTGGGAGCTCATAATCAGGAAGGCCGGAAGAGGCCTGTAACCTGATGGATACCGCATGTGGGAGCTCAACAGAATGTGTGAGCTCATAGCCAAGAAGGCCCATTTGAGGCCTGTAACCTGGCGACCACAATGTGTGGGAGCTCATAAACAGGAAGGCCTGGTGAGGCCTGTAACCTGGCGAACACATCGGGTGGGAGCTCGTACTCAGGAAGGTCAGGAAGGCTTACCAAGTGGAAGCTACCTCCAGAAGTTAGCCAGAGAAGGGCGTCCTCGTAGCCTACTTAAGGGACAGTGGGACCCGGGGAAAAACCAGGGTCTGAGCCACATAAGAAGGGACCGAAGCATACTGTGCGAGACCCTTACCATAAGAAATGGATTTTAGAAAGTACACAAGACATCTGGTCGTGTGACTTACCACAATAATAGGTGAATTATGGGTTGTATACCTCACTCTGAATTCAGGAAGGCCGAACTTGAGGCCTGTAACCTGGCAGCCACAACACGTGGGAACCCATAATCAGGAAGGCCTGACGAGGCATGACACCCGATAGTCCCAATGCGTGGGGAGCTCACATTTAGATAGACCGCTGAGGCCTGCAACCTGACATGTGAACTCACAACTACACCTTAGCGACCACAATAAGTGGGGGTTTCACATTCAGGAAGGCCTGGTAAAGCCTGCAACCTGACATGTGACAACTCACAACCAGGAAGGCCAATGAAGCCTAAAGCCTGGTGACCACAGAGTGGGAGCAAAGTGCTCAGGAAAGGTGGTGAGGCTGTAATCTGGTTACCACAGCATGTGGGAGCTTACATTCAAGAAGGCCGGGATGAGGCCTGTAACCTGACATGTAGAAGCCCATCACCAAGAAGGCCTGTAACCTGGTGACCACAGTATGGGGGAGCTCATAACCAGGAAGGCCTGACAAGGCCTATAACCCTGCGACCACTGTATGTGGGAGCTCCCCGCATGTGGGAGCTCAACAGAACGTGTGAGCTCACAACCAAGAAGACTCATTTGAGGGCTATAACCTGGCAATCACAGTATGTGGGAGCTTATAACCAGGAAGGCCTGGTGAGGCCTGTAACCCAGCAACCACAATATGTGGGAGCTCACCTTCAGGAAGGCCGGATGAGGCCTGTAGCCCGATTGGTACAATATGTGGGAGCTTAACAGTTTAAGTAAGCTCACAACCAGGAAGGCCTGGTGAGGCCTGTAACCCAGCAGCCACAATATGTGGGAGCTCGTAACCAGGAAGGCATGTAGAGGCCTGTAACTTGGAAACCACAGTATGTGGGAGCTCATAACCAGGAAGGCCTGTTGAGGCCTGTAACCTGGCAACCACAATATGTAGGAGCTCACCTTCAGGAAAGCCGGATAAGGCCTGTAACCCGATTGGTACAATATGTGGGAGCTTAACAGTATGAGTAAGCTCATAACCAGGAAGGCCTGGTGAGGCCTATAACCCGGCGACCACAGTATATGGGAGCTCATAACCAGGAAGGCCTGATGAGGCCTGTAACCTGATGACCACAGTCAAGTCAAGTCAAGTCACATTTATTTATATAGCGCTTTTCACAATACAGATTGTATCAAAGCAGCTTCACAGTGATAACATGAAAGTAGCACAACACAGATCAACAACATTGCTAAACACTAAATAACCCCAACTGAGCAAGCTCAAAGCAAGCCAAAAGCAAGGCGACAGTGGCAAGGAACCAAAACTCCATCAGATAGGATGGAGAAAAAACCTTGGGAGAACCCAGGCTCAGTCGGGGGCCAGTTCTCCTCTGGCTTACATTCATATTGTTTAAATATAAATATTAAATATAAATATTGTTTATGAATCAAACGGCGCCATAACATATCGCAGGCGTTGAGTCGTCTCATCACAGGCGTTGGGGCATCCGAAATCCACAGTATGTGGGAGCTCATAACCAGGAAGGCCTGGTGAGGCCTGTAACCTGGCAACCACAATATGTGGGAGCTCACCTTCAGGAAGGCCGGATAAGGCCTGTAACCTGATTGGTACAATATGTGGGAGCTTAACAGTATGAGTAAGCTCATAACCAGGAAGGCCTGATGAGGCCTGTAACCTGATGACCACAGTATGTGGGAACTCATAACCAGGAAGGCCCCTTTGAGGCCTATAACCTAGCGACCACAATGTGTGGGAGCTCATACCCAGGAAGGCCTGGTGAGGCCTATAACCCAGCGACCACAGCATGTGGGAGCTCAAAACCAGGAAGGCCTGGTGAGGCCTGCAACCTGGCGACCACCGTATGTGGGAGCTCATAACCAGAAAGGCCTGATGAGGCCTGTCACCTGATGACCACAGTATGTGGAAATTCATAACCGGGAAGACCCCCTTGAGGCCTGTAACCTAGCAACCACAATGTGTGAGAGCTCATAACCAGGAGGGCCTGGTGAGGCCTGTAACCTGGCAACCACAATATGGGGGAGCTCATAACCAGGAAGGCCTGGTGAGGCCTGTAACCTGGCGACCACCATATGTGGGAGCTCATAACCAGGAAGGCCTGGCGAGGCCCGTAACCTGGCGACCATAGTAAATGGGAGCTCATAACCAGGAAGGCCTGCTGAGGCCTGTAACCTAGCCACCACAGGTTTTTTTTTTTTTTTTGGTATACCTTACCAAACATAATTCGCTCATTACCATTTTCCTCTGGCTCTAGCAAGGAGACGAGTTCTGAAAAAGAAGAGAAAAATGTCATTGCTTTTTCAAAGGGAACATTTCACTCAGTAACACAAATTCTACTGCTTTCACTAAAAACCCGGGAAAAGCACTCCTAACAACCAAGCTGAAGCGGGCCGTCAGAGAATTTTTGAACTCATCATGGGCCCCGCCCTTAACGCCCCAATGAGGATGACCGACCAGAGGCGAGATAGCTAGCCAACGTCTCGTCTACTGGTGGCATCGACACATACCCGCGCTCTGTGGCTGCCTCCACATCAGCGAAACTAGCCCGCTGATGTAGATGGAGACGCACAGAGAACGGGTTCTTCCATGCCTTCTCGATCTCAGAATGGAGAGCAGAAAGAAATGGAAGGCTCAACCGAGCTGGTGGCTTACGGGTGGGGAGAAAGCGATCATCCAAAATACCGCAAACAGGTTCCTCCCGGACGTGCCTCCATTGCAGCTGTAATCTATCCGTGGCGTGCCCCATAACATCCACCAGCTCAGCGTACACTGGGCAGAAGGGCTGAGATGGTTCGGTCTCAACCAAACTGACCTCATCCTCAGCCAACCCCTGCCCGGCCCGAAGAGACCCAGTTGCAGATCCATCAGAGAGAGAAACCTCCTCAACATCGATCTGCAACCCACCCTCGTCAGCTGGCAGATCATCCGAGAGGTTAACGCCCCTCTCTAGCTGATCTGCCAGCTCCATCTGAGAACCCCACGAGCTCAGTTGCCGTTGAGCCTCGGCCCGAGCGGACCCGGAGCCGCGGGGCTCAGATGCCGCGCCCACTTCCTTCGAGAAGAGGGACAGACGAGAGTGGAGAGTTTTGATACTAAACCTCTCACAGTTCGCGAGGAAAGCTCCCTCGAGAGCCTCCCACGCATGCTCTTCCCCCAGGCAGAACACGCACAGATCGTGTGAATCTCCCGGCATCAGATATCTGGGACACGGGTCAGCACACTTGCGGAAAGTATTACGCCGCTTCTCTGTACGCTTCATCTTGTAAAGTTGAATGTTCAAACAGACAAACAGTCCCTGAAGACGAAACGGATGTTGTCACGGTTTCAAGGCGCCCTTCTTATACATCTAGATTGACGCGCTCATCATTCAAGCTGATGATGCACGGGTTGTCGCCGGTCAACCTGATTAATGTGAGTTGATATTTGATTTCAGACACCTGTCACGCCTGAGGCGTTCTCCATTGCGTCATTCGACGTATTGTTGAGTTCCCTTCGAAAGGGAACTTATTGTATATTGTAGTTTTTAACTCACCAATGACTTTGAGAACCACCTCTCCGCTGTCATACACACTTTCTCCACTGACATAACAGTGAAATGAACCTTCATCCTGAATCCTGAGTTTCTCCAGCCGTAGAGAGACGTCTCCATTCTTCAGTCCACCAGACTGATCCGACCACAGAGTCAGTGAGCTTCGGTTCCTGTACGATTCCTCCTGGATGGTCTTCCCATTCTGATAGAGGAGAACAGGGTTGCTGAACTGGTCCTGACGGTACCAGCGGATCTCCAGAACTTCAGCGTTCTCAGGAGGAGAGATCCAGCAGGGCAGAGTGACTGTGGACCCGACACGAGCCACTGTCTGATCACGAGGAACCACAACAGTGAACGACTCTGAGAGACACAGACAGACACACCCAATGAAACACATGTATAGGACACATGTATAACTTTTGTAAGTTCTGGGATTTTGTCGGATTTGCACCGCAGGAACTAGGAACTAAATAAAGTTATTAGCGTGTGCTGTGTGGTTGATGTCCAGTGTTACTGAGTAGAAATAATCATGTTTCTTCCCTTCATCCATCTCTGTTTCCCATGTTCGTAGAGTTAGTTTCTGGAGTAAATATATAGGCTATAATATGTGGCGGGTGCTGGTGTCTCGCGTGCGTTTCGGCCAATCAGCGAACAGTACCGTCACTGTAGTTCCTTTAGCGCTGGTTTAGACCGACTCTGAAGGAGGAGTGAAGTAGATCCTCAAAAGGAGTTACTATATATACTAGTCACAGTCATTCTAAATCTGGAGCCTATGTCTTTTGTCAAAAAATAAAATGAAATAAATAAGACTTACATTAGCGAATTAATATTTCAGGGAAATTTCACATGCAAAAATTTCACCACGATGTATAAAATGCATCTCGAACAGAAGTCACTTTCAAATTAAGTAGCTCTCTGTATGTCATCGCAGAGAATTCAACGAAATACTTGAATATGATTGAATGTGACCATTAGTGATGCCACCAGATGTTAATGAGTAAAATCACTGAAGGAAAGAGGAACAAACATCTGAAGTCACCATTGTAGTGATCAGTGTTTCGTGTAGCTGCCATATTAGTGCGTTTAGAAAACACATTTATTGTGTCAGAAGAGTAAGACTGACCACATGATCACATTATTGTGAAAGTCAGATTTTCAAGTTGTTGATAAGTATTTATTCTTAATCTTACTCAACCATCTTGAGACTGTCTTTGGTGTTTCTGAGACCTGGTTTATATCTCATCTCTGACCGCTGCAGTGTGTGTTTATGAGTGGTTCCAGGTCTGAGATTGACTGGCGTCCCTCAGGGTTCGGTTTTAAGCCCCTTCATTTTTTAGCATTTATATATTTCCTCTTGGATTTCTCTTAAGATCACTTGGGCTAAATTATCATTTCTGTACAGATGAAACTCAAATTTATTTTCACTCTAAGCCTGGGCAAAATGTGGACGTTTCTTTAGTCTTGCATTGCATGAGATGATACCATGGATGACCCTAAACTTTATGTGTTTTAATAGTGATAAAACATCTTTGTAAAGCCGGTTCACTGATGTTAAATGCAGATTAATCTGTTTTGGAGTTCCAAACTAAATATAGTTATATTTTATTTGATTTTCTCTTTTGACAAATATTGTAAATCATTCCTTTTTTAATTTCGGAAATATTGCTGGACTTTGCCCAATAAAAATTGTTTAAAATTATTTAGTGACTGAAAAGCTTATCAACACTTTTTTTAACACATTGACTATTATAACACTTTTCTTGCTGGTGTTCCTAAAACCGCACTCAGTGTGTGCAAAATAATATATATTTTTATTGCGTAAAGTGCCTTGAGAAGCTGCTTAAAGGAGTTACATGAAATACAGTTTATTATTATTAAACAAGTTCTTACCAGAAGTCTCTATGAAGAGATTCACCAGTAAAGCCACAATAATAGTCAACATTCCTGCGAAAATACAGACACTCAAATAAAACACTACGGGATTTTTTACAGAAACACACGAATCATGTGAGATTCTGACAATAAATCAGATTGTCGTGTTCAATGAGGAACAGAAACTCACCGGAGAAAAAGATTCGTCTGTTTAATCACAGTAATCTGAAGATAAACCGTAGACGCGTTGAATATAAGAATAAAGTCAAAATAGACGAAAATCAGAATCTATCGAAGGTGCACCTGATTTTACTCCTGTATCTCCTGCTTAAAACTTTCCCTTTCTAAACAACGTGATCCCTCAATAAAAGCAGACGTCATCGTCATATGATTAAAACCGCTATACGCACAGTAGGTCTCATAAATGTGTTTTAGAGTCCGTTTTCTGTTTTTACGAGGCGATTAAATATATAATGGAAAATCCACACAGATTTCAGGGATTTTTTTCCTCATGGGCCGACTGTAGAAAAATAAATCAAGAGGGAAAAGCAGTGTGTGATATTGAAGGTGAATATGGCTCAATGATAAAGACAGAGATAACAACAGCGTGTGTTTATTAATATAGTAATACACAGCTGTGTGTTTTGCATGGACAGGATGATGATACATTATATAATTATGGCAAGGAAGAGACATCTAATGAATGTACAGTTTTAGGAATATTTTTATAGAGAAATCCGCGTTTGCATTTTGTTTGACCCTGTTTTGAGCTTTACTGTTGTATAAGAGTTGAATCTGATCATCTAATAGGGACTGAGATGGATTCATTATCTTTTTCTGTTAATAAATATGTGTGGAGATCTTCCACGATTTAAAATATTAAATATGGATAATTTTAATTGCCAAAATTTAAAAATAGTGACTTATAAAGCTAAATAAATGCTTATAAAACTTAAACTTTTTAATTTATTTTTTAAATGGCCGATGGTTACATAGGTTGAAACATAGAAGGCAGCAGGATCCAAATGCATCAGCAGTAGTACTTTTATTCAATAAACTAAAGATTAGACAGAACTCAAAACCTCAGACAGAGAACAAGATCAACATCCAACAACATCAAGAACCCACAAACATTGTAACAAGAAAGGCTTTAAATACAGAGACTAACAAGCTAAACAAGATAACAAGAGGGCGTGGTCAATTAGAAACAACTGGGGATAGCAATAAACTAGAAAAACTACAAAGGACTATTATGACACAAAACAGGAAATATCTAGAGTTCACACAAGACAAGGGAAACAGACAGGAATAGTTTCGCTAGATAAGAACTGGAATCATTTAAAGCCCTTTGAACAGTTTGCACTGAAACTCTCATTTGGACCTTGAACCGTTTGGACCCCATTGAAGTTCATTATATGGAGAAAAGTCCTGGAATGTTTTCATCAAAAACCTTAATTTCCTTTCGACTGAAGAAAGAAAGACATGGACATCTTGGATGACATGGGGGTGAGTAAATTATCAATTATTTTTTTAGATGAACTAATCCTTTAGCATAGTTAGAAATAGGCTAGATAGATAGATAGATAGATAGATAGATAGATAGATAGATAGATAGATAGATAGATAGATAGATAGATAGATAGAACCTAACGTCCCAATCACAGCTGCCAATCATGTTAAAACAGCTTCACTGTGAATATAATATCATCCTCGATATTAACGCGATATGGCTCAGCTTGTCAGTGATCTACGGCTCTTTGTAGTGAATGCTGCTCCATCTGAAAGCAGGGGAAGGTGATTTACTACTAATCAAGGAACCGGCTTTACTAATTAGATACGCTTAACAATATCGTGCGATTAATCATGCAGCCCTAGTGTGTGTGTGTGTGTGTCTAGCATCCCGTGTGGACAGTGAGGCAGTCCATAGTCCTGTTACTGTGAACTATAGTAGATTGCAGTACCACTACCGTCCTCTGGGGGCTCTACGCTGCTCTCCTCCTCTAGATTAATCCAGGTGAAGTAGTTGAGGAAGGGAGATTAAAACCCAAAGCAGAGGAAGGGGATAACAGCATCGCTGATTATAATGGTTTCTATTTGGTTTCTATTTGGTTTTGGCTTTTGCATCTGGTGTAGACTCTGTGTTCCTCAGTAAAGGTTCACTGGACTCTACAGGTGTTTCTACAGGTTCTGGACAATCCAGAATCATAAGTGAACTCTGATCTCCGACCCCTGGATTAAACAGCGGAGCGACTGCTCCAGTGAATCTGGTGTTCATGGTCAGCACATGTTTCCGCTCTTTGACATTGTAAAATGACAGCTGACCTTCACCATAATCTAACAGAACTCCCAGTCGTTCGGGTCTCGGCGTCAGTGAGAGAGTAATCAGAGGATCACATTTAGGATCAGAGCTGATGTAAAAGCCATTAGGACCGTCTGAACACAGGAACCAGAACCCGTTTGATGGAGTAAAAGATTTGTCTTTAACACGAAAATTTTCATGTTTCGCCACACCAATTAACCAGTAGTTTTTAGGAGGTTTATTCGCTCGTGCCAACTCTACCTCCCAATAGTGACGGCCAGATGTAAATGTTTGAGCTCCATATGCATACAATTCATATGGAAATCCCTCTCCAGTGTGTTTATATTCTTTACCTTCCCTCATTATTTTACGGTCCTTAGAAATGGTCAAATTCGGAGACACATAATGTTGGTCAATAGTGATCTTAACTGTGAGGAAAAAACAAAGGAACAATGATTAATTCTCTGTGTGAGATCATATTTTCATACAGTATATGCATATGAAATGTAAGTAAATGAGATTGTCATACCTGCATGTTTCCTCAGTTCTTCTATATTTATCTCTCCAACAGCTAAAAGGAGAAACAAGCAATTTGATGTTTTGAAAAAAACAATAACTCCAGTTTGTGTTTGAGGACATCTAGAGTTATCGATTCGTAACAGAGAAAAGTCTAATGAACAGATGAAGAGTTCAGATGCAAAAGCCTCTAAGTGCCATTTGAAATTTTCTTCTTTAATGATGATTTTTATCAAACTTGAATATTTAAGTTCAGTAATTTCACTTAAATGGCAATGATAATTACCTATTAATTGTTATTTAAGTGAAATTACTGAACTTAAATATACAAGTTTGATAAAAATCATCATTAAAGAAGAAAATTTCAAATGGCATTTAGAGGCTTTTGCATCAGAACTCTTCATAAATGGAAAGTACGCAAATTCGTGTGACCGTTAGACTGTAAGAAACAAAATGACAATGATTTGTAAATCGAGTTGATTTTTATTAACACATATGTCGATAGGCCTGATCATAGTACTTGAATACACCTTGTGGTGCAACCTGGACACATCGTCAGTGATGCTCCCGGGGTCATAGGATGTTTCGGGTCTTACATCAGACACCCTCACCCGGGCGACCCAGCCGGGGGTGATCAAGCTCGACTTGTGTCCAGGTAGCGCTCTATGCCACGCGTCCCCCCTCCTTAACCAGAGCCATCGTGCTGCCTTTTCAGCGGCTTCCAGAATGTTCTTAATGGCTCTTTGCCTGTGCAGTCCACAAATCCCTAAGAGTCCCAGGACCTGGTGTAAGGACTGGCCAGCGAAGCCCCTACAGCCCACTTCAACCGGCTCACAGCGGGCATTCCACCCATTCCTCCGACACTCCGCTACCAGATCAGCGTACTTGGCCCTCTTTCTTTCCTGGGCTTCCTCCATTCTCTTTTCCCAGGGGACCGTTAGTTCAAGTAACACCACCTGCTTGCTTGCTGCGGACATCAAGACCATATCCGGTCGTAGTGTTGTGACTGCGATTGGATCTGGGAACCTCAATTGCATCCCCAGGTCCACCAGGAGGTGCCAGTCTCTTGCTGTTGCCAGCACGCCCCCTTGGGTCTTTCTAGGGGGCTGAGGCTTCTCTCCTGCTCGAAAAAAGGCAATTGCAGACTTAGTTGGATGATGCTGCTTGCTAATGTTAATGCCAATGCAGATGGCGTCTGCTACTGCCTTCAGGATCTGGTCATGGCGCCAACGGTAACGCCCATCTCCCAAGGCTTTCGGGCAGCAGCTGAGGATATGCTCTAATGATCCCCTTTTCTGGCAGAGTTGGCAAGCAGGTGAGTCCACCAGGCCCCAGGTGAACAGATTGGCAGGGCTAGGAAGGACATCATACACTGACTGGACCAAGAACTTGAAATGGTGTGGTTCCGCCTTCCAAAGTTCTGCCCAAGTGATCTTACGGCCAGCTGTTTGCTCCCACTTTGTCCAGGCCCCCTGCTTGGACATGCCCACCACTCTGCTGAAGCGAGTTTCCTCCACCTCGGCTCGTACCTCCTCCTGGATAAGCTTCCGCTTCTCCTTTCCTCTGGCTTTGCTGTAGCATGGCTTGGGATTACTACCAAGCCCTGCCCGCCCAGTAGCCACCGTACCCACCAGGGTGCTATGCCGCAGCCTTGCCTCCGCCCGTTCCACTGCATCCTGGGCACGCCACTTCCTTCCTGTTCTGACCTCTACCCCTGCTAAGGAGACCTCGGTGTCAACTGAGTCTCGGTAGAGCAGGACTTCTCTGGCTCGGGTGAACTTGAACTCCTCTGCCAGACTACTCAAGGGAAGCTGTAGCTTGGTGTTATGGCCAAAGAATGCAATGCTGCTTAGGCTCCGTGGCAGGCCCAACCACCTGCGCAGAAATTGGCTGACCTTCCGCTCAAAGCCCTCCACGGTGGTAATTGGGACTTCATATATCAGCAGTGGCCAGAGGAGACGAGGGAGGATGCCATGTTGGTAGATCCAGGCCTTAAACCTACCAGGAAGCCCTGACTTGTCCACTGCCAACAGCCATGTGTCGAAGTCATCGCTGGTTCCCTTTCGTGCAGCGGTGTCCTTCAGGTTGTGGGTGAAGAGCTTGCCCAGGCTCTTCACTGGCTTTTCTGACACTGATGGAATTCTGGTGTCCCCCAACATGAAGCGGAACTGATCAGCTACTTTTCCTTTCCTCAAAACCAAGGACCTGGATTTCGCGGGCTTGAAGCTCATCCTTGCCCAAGTGATGAGCTGTTCGAGGCCTTGCAGAAGCCACCTGCATCCGGGCACAGTGGTTGTGGTGACCGTGAGATCGTCCATAAATGCTCTAATCGGGGGTTGTCGGGTGCCAGATCTGGACAGTGGACCTCTACATTCCACTTCTGCAGACTTCACGAGCATATTCATGGCCAGTGCGAACATAGACACAGAGATTGTGCAGCCTGTAATGATGCCCTTCTCCAGACGCTGCCACTCCGATATTAAAGTCCCAGAGGACACCGTAAGACTAAAGTTGTTGTAGTAGTCCAGGATGAGATTTTGAATCTTCTCTGGGACATGGTATCTGCTCAGGGCCAATTCCACCAATCTATGTGGTATCGAACCGTAAGCATTGGCAAGGTCCAGCCACAGCACTGCCAAGTCCCCTTTGCCTTCTCGTGCCTCCCTGATCAGCTTAGTCACCACCCCTGTGTGTTCAATACACCCTGGGACCCCTGGGATTCCTCCTTTCTGCACCGAGGTGTCTATGTAGGTGTTCTTAAGGAGAAATCCCATCAGACGATTGGAAACAATCTTGAAGAAGGTTTTGCATCATTCTGTTCATTCTATGGGCTCTATGCACGGCGGTATTTCCGGTGAAGGATTAAGGATGCTCGATAACTTCCGCCGATCGTAGAGTCCAATGCAATACCGAGAATTTATATTGAATTTTATACTCCATGGTTATACTAAAGAAACGTTAGTCACAAAAACAGATAAAACAGACACCCCTCGTTGGGTTTATGCTTCTTTTTAAAATTATATTAAATAAATATAACTATATATAAAATTACATCTAAACGTATGTACGTTTAATTTCAAAGACTGGAGGACAGTAAATTTTGAAGACTCTGCCATAATCCCGTTTTCCTCGGTTCTCCTCTGCTTAAATCTCCACAACCGGAAATGGACGAGCATCCTTGCGGAATTTATGCGTGCATATAGCCCATTGTCCATCAAACCATGTTCATATTGTCTTCTGCTACAACATGCATGTAGATGTTTATGTAATGATTGGAGTGAGCCCTTCAGCAGTTAAATACATATTAAAGTAAAATATTTATTAAAGTACCTTCTTCTGTCAGTTTCTCCATACCACCATCCTCACAAACTAAAATGAAAAAAAAAATTTAAATGGAGGGATTAATTATCAATCTGTTTATAAATTATAATTTCTCCAGACTTTTCACACCACATTAACTTACACATTTAACCATCTCCTGCATTGAAAAGATTCAGAAAAGAACAGGCATTTTCTCTCAGTAACCCTGTGCCTAAAAGTGTTCGCCTGATCCATGACTGAGTTTAGATGTACAGTCTATTAATGTAACTTACTTTGTTCTTCTGGTTTCTTCCCTGAAAAACGGATGGTATTTTTCTGTGTGTATTTGTACAGGATCAGCCCAACCAAACCCAGAACAGCACAAATGAGAAGAGTGAAGAAAAGAGCCTTCCAGAGATCTGATGAGTCTGGTGAATCTGGTGAATCTGATGCATCTGGTGAATCTGGTGAATCTGAGAAAGAAAGTGCATATCAATTTAAACTCAACTCTGAAGCAAAATATATAAATCAATCATGCTAAAAACAAACAAACAACGAAAGTTAACATAAAATGCCATTTGCATTCAATTCACACGTTTTCCCAACGTTGGACAAAGTTCCCTCAGTCACATTCAACATTACATAGAAAAGGCTGCAATATGGGATCAATCACCTCCGAAGGGTAACAAGAGCCAATGGACATTGGTGAGTGAGATTTGGCAAGCCACTGACCCGGACATATGGGTATACAGAGCCGAGCGCTTGCTTTCTGCCTTCATTCATCAGAGGGTATGCTCTGTGTTGGAGGGATGCCGCATTTAGCGGTGTGTTTCGTAGAAAGAGCAAACGTGCGCAGTTAAGTGCAGTTCAACATTTAAAAGAACTGTTTCCCTAAAAGAGCAATCATGGCTGACCCATTGGCTCACATGTTTGAGGGATCTTTCGTTCTTTCTGTGGCACACAGGTGATGCTCATGACAAATTACGCCACTGAACTCACTCCATTCTCACGACCAACAGGAAAGCCTGATCATCAGGTTCATGAGAGGCCTTCCCTTGCCGCTATAGCTGTCAACAGGCATCAACAGGATCGACAAGCGTTGACATAACATTACCGGTAAACAAACGAAGATGCCGTCGTTATTAATTGCCTGGGCTCTCTCTTTGCACGCTTGGGTGCCATCTGAAGAAATGAGACGCAGCCTAAATCTTCCTCGACCGTGTCTTACCCCGTCTTGGGACCTCTCCGCTATACTCCCAGCTTTTTAGCCCCTACAGTCAGTCAAGCTAAAGATCCTTTCTCTGAAGACAGCACTGACTGAGCTCACTTCTATCAAGAAGGGAAAGAGAGTGTGTTTGTTGAGCCCTATCTTCCCAATGATTTGTGCTGCTTTTGATCGTTCCTGTGAGCCTTCCTCTAAAATGCCCCATTTACAGGCTCTAATGATTCATAAAAACTTGAATGGTACTTTTTAACTCACCAATGACTTTGAGAACCACCTTTCCGCTGTCATACACACTTTCTCCACTGATATAACAGCGAAATGAACCTTCATCCTGAACTGTGAGTTTCTCCAGCCGTAGAGAGACGTCTCCATCCTTCAGTCCACCAGACTGATCCGACCACAGAGTCAGTGAGCTTCGGTTCCTGTACGATTCCTCCTGGATGATCTTCCCATTCTGATAGAGGAGAACCGGTTTGCTGAACTCCTGACGGTACCAGCGGATCTCCAGAACTTCAGCGTTCTCAGGAGGAGAGATCCAGCAGGGCAGAGTGACTGTGGACCCGACACGAGCCACTGTCTGATCACGAGGAACCACAACAGTGAACGACTCTGAGAGACACAGACAGACACACTGTGCATTAGTCTTTAATGTATGTCTTTACTGTATTTATTTTATTTGACTAGTTACTCGCAGCATTAGCAATATTTCAGCTAAAATTTGGAAGCAAAAAGTGTCCATTATCTATTGTAAATAATGTAACCATGTAGCTCACACAAAAGTCACTTTTAAAGCTGTTTTATGTTTGTCATCGCAATGGATTCAACTTGAATATGAGCGAAACTCGAGCGAAACTTCCGATCGCGCGGATTCCCATTGGAATGACTGAATTAAAGATTCATGTGTATTTTATTACGTCGCCTTTAAATGCTAATGAAAAACACAGAGAGAAATACTGAATGTTAAATATTATAGATATGTTGTATTTTCAGGGTTGGACATTTTTGGGCTTGCGGTAAAACTGCCATCGATGTTCACGTAAATGCCTTAAATTTAAGATACAGGTGCAAAAACTAAACCGATTGAAATAAAAAGTGTCAATTGCGGAATTATGTTTATATCTGCTCACGTTGCATCAAAGCTTTTTTAAACAGTTTTAATTACAGCATTAATGTTACAGCATTAAAACTATTTAAGTTTCCACATTAATCCAAATAGAGGAGTTTACATTAGTGACCGCTGAAGAAGAAATCTGCAGTCCCACGAATCCTCTCATCATGAACAACTAAAGTGCAGATACATGTCGATAACAAAATCTTTATGCAGCGTAGACAGCATTATTGGTTATAACAGGAGTTTGATGAACTCATTGATAGTGATGGAAACGTTATTTTCTCACTTTCAGTAGCTATAATTTATTCCCAATTTGAATATAAGATGAGCAATGTGAAGACTTGGGGTTTTTTTCCAATATCAAGGACAATAATCGACAGCCCTGTAACATATCCTATTGTTTAATTTGATCATTTATATAGGCCTACTTTATTAAGCCAATTTAAAATTACGATGATCCCATTACATTATGTAATTGTTGAGTAGCTACAGGCATTTATGCCACCCTTGAGCAGCATTAAACAGTCTGTAAGTAAATAAACATGCCATTCCAGTGCCATGTTGGCAGTATAGATGGCTTTTGTTGATGCTGATCAAATTTTATTGGCAACAGATATTTGATTCAATTAAAAAATATGACAAATAAACATATATACATTTGACGATGTATTAAATTATAAAAGTGCCTTTTACAAAAAACTAAAAATGCTGCCGAACCTGATAGGCCTATATACTGTATAGCCTATTATTCATTATATTTATGAGTCACGTGGTTCTAAATCTAGTGCAGTTTTGCACACTTTAGAAATACATGTCAGCATTGTAAACAGTGAATGTTTAAACAGGGTTAGTTTTGCACTTTGGACTGATATTGAATATTGAAATTGTGGACATAGAGATAAGAGAGATTGTGTCTCAAAGAACTTATTGTAAGTAATCTTCTATGTCTGAATAATATTTAATCTATAGTGCAATAATAATAGAAAGTGTTCACATATAAAAAATATTCGATAAATATGAACATTTGTAGATTCCATTTATAAAGCCGTAACTGAATGAAATCCAACCGTGTTTGCTGTTACCTGTAGTCTCTATGAGGAGATTCACCAGTAAAGCGATGATAATAATAATCGGCAACATTTCTGAGAAAATACAGACAGACTCAAATAAAACAAACTCTGGGGGATTTTGCCAGAAACACACGAATAATAATCGAGATATTATAAATCAGACTGTCGTATTCAATGAGGAAACAGAAACTCACCGGAGACACCGAAGACTCGTCCGTTAAATCACAGTGTTAATTATGATGAATTTGAGCCATTCAACACATTCAAACATAATTCATAAAAGTAGACGAAACTGAGTGAGAATCAAACGTGCTCCTGATTTTCCTCCTGGTTTACTTTCACTTTAACGTCAGTTAATGATCCTCAATAAAACACAGGCGTCACCAGAACACTCAGTATGTTGTTACCCAGCTGTCCTCTGTGTGGATATACAGTAGAGTGTGATTGATTCCTGTGATCAAAGCTGAATCTCTCCATCATTACTCCAGTCTTCAGTGTAGAGCTGCTGGAACCAATTCCGAAATTCTAATATAATTCGAATATTAAAAAATCAATACCATTCGAATATTGTTTTATGTGTATATTTTTTTTAAATATGCAATCTTTAATGACGTATAAAAACGTGTGAGTATATGAGTGTGTGATTATATGAGTGTGAGTATATGAGTGTGAGTATGTGAGTGTGAGTATGTGAGTATGTGAGAGTGTGAGTATGTGAGAGTGTGAGTATGTGAGAGTGAGTATGTGAGTGTGAGTATGTGAGTATGTGAGAGTGAGTATGTGTGAGTGTGAGTATGTGAGTGTGAGTATGTGAGAGTGTGAGTATGTGAGAGTGTGAGTATGTGAGAGTGAGTATGTGAGTGTGAGTATGTGAGAGTGTGAGTATGGGAGTGTGAGTATGAGAGTGTGAGTATGTGAGTGTGAGTATGTGAGTGTGTGAGTGTGTGAGTGTGTGAGTATGTGAGTGTGAGTATGTGAGTGTGAGTATGTGAGTGTGAGTATGTGAGTGTGAGTATGTGAGAGTGTGAGTATGTGAGAGTGAGTATGTGAGTGTGAGTATGTGAGAGTGTGAGTATGGGAGTGTGAGTATGAGAGTGTGAGTATGTGAGTGTGAGTATGTGAGTATGTGAGAGTGAGTATGTGAGAGTGTGAGTATGTGAGAGTGTGAGTATGTGAGTGTGAGTATGTGAGAGTGTGAGTATGTGAGAGTGTGAGTATGTGAGTGTGAGTATGTGAGAGTGTGAGTATGTGAGAGTGTGAGTATGTGAGTGTGAGTATGTGAGAGTGTGAGAGTGTGTGAGTGTGAGAGTGTGTGAGAGTGTGAGTATGGGAGTGTGAGTATGTGAGTGTGAGTATGTGAGAGTGAGTATGTGAGAGTGAGTATGTGAGTGTGAGTATGTGAGAGTGAGTATGTGAGTGTGAGTATGTGAGAGTGAGTATGTGAGAGTGTGAGTATGTGAGTGTGAGTATGTGAGAGTGTGAGAGTGTGTGAGAGTGTGAGAGTGTGTGAGAGTGTGAGTATGGGAGTGTGAGTATGTGAGAGTGAGTATGTGAGAGTGAGTATGTGAGAGTGAGTATGTGAGTGTGAGTATGTGAGAGTGAGTATGTGAGAGTGAGTATGTGAGAGTGTGAGTATGTGAGAGTGTGAGTATGTGAGTGTGAGTATGTGAGAGTGTGAGAGTGTGTGAGAGTGTGAGAGTGTGTGAGAGTGTGAGTATGGGAGTGTGAGTATGTGAGAGTGAGTATGTGAGAGTGAGTATGTGAGAGTGAGTATGTGAGAGTGAGTATGTGAGAGTGAGTATGTGAGTGTGAGTATGTGAGAGTGTGAGTATGGGAGTGTGAGTATGGGAGTGTGAGTGTGTGAGTATGTGAGAGTGAGTATGTGAGTGTGAGTATGTGAGAGTGTGAGTATGGGAGTGTGAGTATGGGAGTGTGAGTATGAGAGTATGTGAGAGTGAGTATGTGAGAGTGAGAGTATGTGAGTGTGAGTATGTGAGAGTGAGAGTATGTGAGTGAGAGTATGTGAGTGTGAGTATGTGAGAGTGAGTATGTGAGAGTGAGTATGTGAGTGTGAGTATGTGAGAGTGTGTGAGTGTGAGAGTGTGTGAGAGTGTGAGTATGGGAGTGTGAGTATGTGAGTGTGAGTATGTGAGAGTGAGTATGTGAGAGTGAGTATGTGAGTGTGAGTATGTGAGAGTGAGTATGTGAGAGTGAGTATGTGAGAGTGTGAGTATGTGAGAGTGTGAGTATGTGAGTGTGAGTATGTGAGAGTGTGAGAGTGTGTGAGAGTGTGAGAGTGTGTGAGAGTGTGAGTATGGGAGTGTGAGTATGTGAGAGTGAGTATGTGAGAGTGAGTATGTGAGTGTGAGTATGTGAGAGTGAGTATGTGAGAGTGAGTATGTGAGAGTGAGTATGTGAGTGTGAGTATGTGAGAGTGTGAGTATGTGAGTGTGAGTATGTGAGAGTGTGAGTATGAGAGTATGTGAGAGTGTGAGTATGTGAGTGTGAGTATGTGAGAGTGAGAGTATGTGAGTGTGAGTATGTGAGAGTGAGAGTATGTGAGTGATTCGAATATTATTCGAATTTTAAATAAAATAAGGAATGTAATTTTAATAGTATTATAGAGAAAGATTGACAGCCCCACTTCAGTGTCACATGATCCTTCAGAAATCGCTCTAATATGATGATTTGATGATCAAGAAACAAAAACTCAACCGTAAATGCAAGCTTTATGTTCGATGTATGAAGTGCTGGAGATGAACTGACATGAATCTCTCTCTGTCTCTGTGTGTTTTCTGTCAGGAGAGAGAGTTATCTCAGCCGGAGCTCAATGGTGAGTATCAGAGCATCATATCTCAGGTTTGAACACACACAGCGTGTGTGTGTGTGTGTGTGTGACACGAGTTCTGGTTTTCCAGAGTTGTCCGAGGCCTTTAAGGAGTTCGACTACGTTCAGGACGGATACCTGAACTATAAGGATCTGGCCGAGTGCATGAGGACGATGGGTTACATGCCGACAGAGATGGAGCTGCTGGAGATCATTCAACAGATCAAGATGAGGCGTGAGTGTGTGTGTGTGTGTGTGTGTGTGTGTGTGTGACTGTGTGTGTGTGTGTGTGTTGGTTAGGTTTAGATGTGTGTGTGTGTGTGTGTGTGTTGTGTAGGTTTAGGAGTAGGGTGAAAACAGACTAATATAAATAATACTGTTCTTGATTAAATTATGTCAATAATCTAGTGTAACAACATTCACTCGTCACATAGGGTGAAAACAGACTAGCAGACAGCCTGCCAAGAACGTGAGATGACGTTTCACGGCCAAATCAAATAACCAATCAGAGGAGAGCCCTTCTCCATCCTGGAAAAAAAATATCGCCTCCCGTTGCAGGAACACTTTTAGTAGTCCAAGAAGCAGCAAATATATTTATTAAATAGCTATAACGAAGTTTAATGTTAAGTATTATATTTCACAAGATTTTAAACTGTAAAACATATTCAAGCGTGAACGAGAGCCGAGTGGGATGCCAGGTGAACAAAAAAAAAGATCATTCGAATGTCACATGTTCAAATCGAATAGGGGATTATTACGCTGATACGCTGGACTTCCGGATTCAGTGATGTTTGTGCACTGCCACTTCTGTTGACTCAACGATCTCGCTGGCGAACTGATGACGGACTACACTAAGTTTATTTATACGGCATTCCTGGTAAATTAGTCTGATTCACTAAAGTGCCGGCTGCAAACAAACGCGCCACCTTGTTTTATTTTAAAGTTTTAATCCAGTTCTTCATTATACTCAATTCAGTCGGGAATCCATGAAAACTTACGTAGGGTTGGCGTTGTTGGTTAGATTTACAAAGTGGAACAGATCAGTGAAATAAATAGCATTCGTCTCAGCCATTGTTGAACTCATACGGAAGTGCACATGCACAAAGATGACAAATCCCGCCCATGAAACCCGGAAGTATGATAATCCCGCATAGAGCTGGTAAGCCCCGCCCCTTCCGCTAGCCCCGCTGGACCTCTAGGTTGAAAAATCGTCAATGCAAGTGAATGAGAGAAAATAATTATTTTCTAATCCCGTTTGAATTGTGCCATGAATGTAACATATGTTGTCTGTGAATTTTTTATATAATGTTTCGTGTAAAGAATGCTGCAATTTAGCGGGTAGAATTTTCATACGGCTAGACTTTGTGGACTACAACTCTCTCGACGTGTTTGATATACATCACCCCCACTAGCACACGGATCCCGCTAAACATGCCTGTGTCTTTGGTGCACTTCATGAGGACAAACTAGTTGAGGTGGTGAAAACCGTGATTTGTGGAGGGAAAATGTGTTATGCGGCGACGTGTAGTCTTTCTCGTTACGTCTATTCCACAACTGCTAGCCAAAGAATCATACAATATACTGTCAAACTCGTTACATGAGAAATTATATAAAAAATTCACAGACAACATATGTCACATTCATGACACAATTCAAACGGGATCATAAAATAATTATTTTCTCTCATTCACTTGCATTGACGCTTTTTCAACCTAGCGGAAGGGGCGGGACTTACCAGCTCTATAGCAACCCACTGAACGAATACTGGAATATTCTGGTCCAGCCCTATTATATGTTTAAAAAGTTTATAAGTTTATTTTGTACTTTTATTAAGAATTAATCAAACAAATAAGATCACTGGACAGTGGACACAAACACCCACTTCATGACATGTTTGATTGTTTTATGGGTGAAAAAACAGAATTTGTGAATTTCAAACATCATACTCTTCATTCTACTTTAGAAACTTTAGAAATGCTCCCATCTGGGCGTAGAATCAAAACTCATTTAGCCATTATATTAAACCGGCAGGCCAATAAAACAACCTCTAACATAGACAGAGACCAGACAAAGAGTGACTGAGGCACAACTTATCAAAGCAAACCCAAACGAGATGATATAATCAAACACAGAACTCATAATGAACATCACCCTCAGCCGTCTGTATCAGACTTTGCATTTCAGATCATTGTTTTTTTTATTAAAAACATCAATCAATGTGCATTTCAACATTAGTTACAGTGTTTTATTAAAGTAAAGTAAGAGCCCAAAGTACAACAATCATCTGTTGAATATCATAAGGCCCCTTTAGATTTTTTATGAAACATTTTAGACATCGTGTTTCTATGGAAGCTTGTATCCGCCACTGAATAAAAAAATAAAATAAATAATTGCGACTTTTTATCTCACAATTCTGACTTTTTTTCTCACAATTGCGAGATAAAAAGTCCGAATTGCGTGATATAAAGTCGCAATTGCGAGTTATAAAGTCAGAATTGCGAGATATAAAGTCAGAATTGCGTGATATAAAGTCAGAATTGCGTGATATAAAGTCGCAATTGCGAGTTATAAAGTCAGAATTGCGAGATAAAAAGTCAGAATTGCGAGATATAAAGTCAGAATTGCGAGATTTAAACTCTTCTGATGGGGGAAAAAGAATTGGCCTAATAAGTCGCAATTGCGAGTTTATATCTCACAATTCTGAGAAAAGATGTCAGAATTTCGACATATAAACTCGCAATTATGTGTTATAAAGTCAGAATTGCGAGATGTAAACTCGCAATTGTGAGAAAAAAAGTCACACTTCTGTCTTTTTTTCTCAGAATTGCGACTTTATATCACGCAATTGTGAGAAAAAAAGTCAGAATTGTAAGATAAAAAGTCACAATTCTTTATTATATTTTTTATTCAATGGCGGAAACAAGCTTCCATATGTTTCTCCATCAATATACAGTAAAAAGTAAATCATATTTTTGAGCATTTTGAGACCCTTTAAGTCTTGTTCCTCCTGTAAGGCTGAAGATTTGGATTAACATTCATAATCAGAGGCTTTTATCAGTGACTTACGAATGAAGAACGAGCAGTTTATCGTATAAGAGCCAATATTCATAATATACGAGTTTAGACTTCAGTCGAGATGCTGCTGAGATCCGACACTTTCCTCATCCATATTTCCAGCCATTTGGGTTTTATAGCATTTTCCTTCAGTCGTCTCATGTTCGTCCTCTGATCGACTCTGATGTGGAACGATGGGAAAGAGGGAGAAGCATCTGTGTCTGAATCTGCAGGAGCTTCATTCGGCCTGAACACACAGGATTGGTCAGTCAGGCGTCTGAGCTGTTCCCCAGTAAAGGGTCACTGGACTCTACAGGTGTTTCTACAGGTTTTGGACAATCCAGAATCATAAGTGGACTCTGATCTCCGACCCCTGGATTAAACAGCGGAGTGACTGCTCCAGGGAATCTGATGCTCATGGTCAGCACATGTTTCCTCTCTTTGACATTGTAAAATGACAGCTGACCTTCACCATAATCTAACAGAACTCCCAGTCGTTCGGGTCTCGGCGTCAGTGAGAGAGAAACTGGTGGATTACATTTAGGATCAGAGCTGATGTAAAAGCCATTATCCCCGTCTGAACACAAGAACCAGCAACGGTTTGATGTTACAGCAGATCTGTCTTTTGCACGAAAATTTCCCAGTTTCGTCACACCAATTAACCAGTAGTTTTTAGGAGGTTTATCTTCTAATGCCAACTCTACCTCCCAATAGTGACGGCCAGATGTAAATCTTTGAGCTCCGACTGCACATAATTCATATGGAAATCCCTCTCCAGTGTGTTTATAATCTGGAGCGTCTCTCACTGTTTTACGGTCCTTAGAAACGGTCAGACCTGGATGTGAACGCTTAGGATCAATAGTGATCTCAACTGTGAAGAAAATAATTATTATTAATACACTTCAACGTGTGTGAGATCATATTTACAGATATGTGTATATATGACTAAAGATGATGAAATGCATATGTATAACTGAGATGATGTCATCAAACCTGCATGTTTCCTCAGTTCTGCTATATTTGTGTCTCCCACACCTAAAGTGAAAAATTATTTGAATTATATTTAGAAGAGTATCCGTAACCAGACCGTTTCTGGTCTCATTGACTCCCATAGTATATTTTTTTCCTACTATGGAAGTCAATGAGACCAGAAACGGTCTGGTTACTGATATTCTTCTAAATATCAGAAAATTGGCTGAATACAATCGAAAACGGTAAAACCCAACTGTTCAACTCTGGGGGAGTGGTAAAATGAGCCTATTTCAAAAAAAAAAAAAAGTGAAGTATCCCTTTAAGCGTCAATATAACACACTTCGGTTATGCGTAGGGTAAGACCACTAGGAGGCGCCTTCTGGCCCATATATATCAGCATCTCATATTGACGCTAGAGAGTGCCATGTGCATCGGATGAAGACACAATGTCAAAAGCGTCAGTATATGACGCCTTGGGGATGAGCCCAAATGGGCCCAAATTCATTTGCTATTTAAACGACGAAAAAATGATAAGTGCGTTGGGCTGAAGCTAGCAAAAAATGCCTGTGTTGTGCCTGGCGCCGCATTGTGCCGTGTGTGTGATGGGGCCAATGAAGTCTGGTGTCGACTGTCATGATCTGTGCACTGGTTCTGTTCTGGCCAATCAGCAGGGTCTCGGAGGACGTGTACTCACTCTCTGATGGCTGTGAATGGACATGTGGAGCAGCAGCCCCAGCACACCATGAAGAACTGCCCGCATCTGGAAACAACACCAGACATACTTTCATGTGAGTGATTTCTACTAGGTCTCAGTGTCTTATGTTTACAATAATTATGATACAAGAACCCATGCATGAAAAAAAAAACCCAAGATGAATCTTATATTTCAGAGCAAAATGAAAGTCTTAATAAAATAATCTAGAAGAAACTGTTATTAGTTTTACTCTAAATGCAATCTAATAAATATGGTATATTAGTGTTAATGTACAGAAATAACTCCTAGGTTAAAAAAATGTGTTTAATAGCAATACCACCCTTTTGTGTTCTATCACAAATATACAGAATCATACTACAGCAGTATTTTTATATGAGAAACATGCACACCTGCTGAAGGACTAGTCTGGTCAGGACTCAATCCTGTGGGTTTCTCTTCTTGGTTTGATGAGTCGTGTTCACCTACTGGTACAATCAGACATGGCATTGACACATACCATTTTAAACCCTTTTGAAACTATTCTATATAGCCAAAGCTGTAAACAAGAAGAGAAGTAAACACCTACAGTTAGGACTGGGGCTTGTGTTTCTCTAAAGAGTTGAGTTCACCTGTCACGAGTGTACCACTAATATCAAACTCTCCAGCATGAAGAAACAGATTCTCATAATCCACACACACATATCTGTCTGTAACTTCAATTACACTATTACAGCATAAAGCAATGTTTTTTAAAGGGACAGTTCACCCAGAATTTCTGTCATCATTTACTCATCCTCCAGTTGTTAATTTCTTCTGCTCAACACAAAAGATATTTTGAAATATATGGCTAACCAAAATGTTTCTGGTCCCTTGTGGCTATTATTATACATATTAACTTGAATTGCTGTCAGTTCCACTTCTTATGCCAAGGGTCAAAGTTAATTCGTGAGGTCACCATTACACTCCAGCTTATATAGCCTCATAAAACATCACACTGCTCCTACTGTTCATCCAGGAATTACTAAAGTCGTGTTAGTCTTTCAAGACTTTCAGATCAGGTTCGTATAAAATGATGTTCTTAATGAAAGTGCTGTATCAGTGTTTGCTGAGGTTGTGAATTCTACAGTCATAAACTGATTTTCATCACATGTGATGATTTGGGGTTTCTATGTATGCACTGTGTGTAACCACCTCATTTTACCTTATCACATCAAAATGTTTAAGAATGGACTGTATTTATACATTGTCATTCTGCAAAATTGAAACATTTCAACTATAAGCTCTGAAGCACAATGAGATATTTTCGATCAGGAGAGTCTATTCCTGTTCCTGCAGAGTTCAGCTGATCAAGTGTTCATGAAGCGTTATTTGATCAGGGGTAGAGATGAACTTTGCAGGAAGGCAGATCTTCAGGAACAGGATTGGGCAGCACTGTTATTTTATTTGTTTGTTTGCCGTTATTCATCTTTAATCAGTCAGAGAGTGGAGCAAAGCAGGAGAGAATAAGGGACAGGATGGAACAAACCACAAGCTGTACAAAAACTGTACAGTGAATGCATATATGACTGAGATGTCATAACCTACCTGTATCTTTCTTCTGTTCTTCCGTATTTGTGTCTTTCACTGCTAAATTGGAAAACAAATCATTGAAGGTTTTAGTAAAGGAAAACGTCTCGGTTACGTATGTAACCCTCGTTCCCTGAGTAGGGAACGGAGACGTTACGTCAGAAGTGACGGAGATTGGGGGTTTCGCATAGAAAGCCAATCCTCTTCGAGTATTTAAAAACGAGCCAATGGCATGCAATGCCTTGGGGCTGCGGAAATTTGCATAGCGTACTCCGCCCTACTCCGTGAGTATAAAAGGAGGAAGTGAACGCAACCGCAGTATGTCTTCGCTGAGGAGCCAAGACTGAACTCGGCGTCTACCCAGCGATACAGCAGAAGTGGCAGGGAGACGTAACTCCCTACTCAGGGAACGAGGGTTACATACGTAACCGAGACGTTCCCTTTCGTAGTCACTTCGAGTTACGTCAGAAGTGACGGAGATTGGGGGTCTGTGCCATCACGCCATCTTCAAGCTGTCTTCCAGTGCCCTGCAAAAGTCTGGACCCCTCCTCTCTTTTTTTTTTTTTTTTAGGGATTCTACTTTGACACAGGATTACCAAGGTACACTGGGAAACATATCCCGGGAGGGACATGTTACCAGATGCCTACCGAAGGGAGGACTTAAGAATACTCATATGGCCACGAAGGAACGCATATGGAGACAGTGGAGCGCCAACCACAGGTGGCTGCTAAGATTTCAGCTCCAGGGGTGGCAGATGGCTTGCCAAGGGAAGACACATGCTCAGAGAGGCTTACAGTGGATAATACACATGAGACGGTTACCATGGGGGAACCGTACGCATGGAGGCACCTAGACAGCATCCAGAGCAACAGCAGTGGTGCCCGCATCGTCGGTGCTGGAGGACTTAAGACTTCAATGGAAGAACTGAGGAAATATCGCACTTATCCAGTCAGAGGAGTGAAGTGGCGAGCAAGCGAAGACACCTGAGCAGGTCCAGAACTGGCCGAAACGAGAACGTGAGAGGACACTGGCTCAATTCGCAGATTATAGAATCTGGCGAAGGTGTTGGGTGTCGCCCAGCCTGCAGCTCTGCAGATGTCTGTTAGCGAGGCGCCGTGCGCTAAAGCCCAAGAGGAGGCCACACTCCGAGTGGAATGGGCCGTCACACCAAGGGGGCACGGACGGCCTTGCTGCTGGTAAGACAAAGCAATGGCGTCCACTATCCAGTGGGACAGCCGTTGCTTTGAGAGAGCCCTTCCCTTCTGGCTCCCTCCATGACAGACAAAGAGCTGGTCTGAGGTCCTGAAACACTGCGTTCTGTCGACATAGGTGCGGAGAGCACGTACCGGACAGAGCAGTGCCAAGGCTGGGTCTGCCTCCTCCAGGGGCAGCGCTTGCAGGTTCACCACCTGGTCCCGGAAGGGAGTGGTGGGAACCTTGGGCACATATCCAGGCCGGGGTCTCAGGATCACGTGAGAGTAAGCCGGCCCGAACTCCAGGCACGCTTCGTCAACGGAGAATGCGTGCAGGTCCCCCACCCTCTTGATGGAGGCCAATGCAACCAGGAGTGCTGTCTTCATGGACAGAAACTTTAACTCTACTGATTGCAAAGGCTCAAAGTGATGCCTCTGCAGAGCACTTAAAACTACCGAGAGGTCCCAAGAGGGTACGAGGGGAGGACGAGGCGGATGCAGCCTCCTCGCTCCCCTCAGGAACCTGATGACCAGGTCGTGCTTCCCTAAGGACTTACCTTCCACTGCTTCATGAGAAGCGGCAATGGCCGCGACGTAAACCTTAAGGGTGAAGGGCGACAGCCTGCGCTCCAACCCTTCTTGCAGGAAGGAAAGCACGACCTCGATCGAACACCTCCGGGGGTCTTCTCTGCGAGAAGAACACCAATTGACGAAGAGGTTCCACTTCAACGCATAAAGGTGTCTCGTGGACGACACTCTTGCGGAAGTGATGGTTGCCGCCACCGCAGGTGGCAGCGAACTCAAACCTGCCTCGTCCCATCCAGGAGCCACACGTGCAGCCTCCAAAGATCGGGACGGAGGTGCCACAGAGTGCCCCGTCTCTGAGAGAGTAGGTCCTGTCTCAGAGGAATAGGCCAAGGAGGTGCTGTCGCGAGGAGCATGAGTTCGGAGAACCACGTCTTGGTGGGCCAGTAGGGGGCTACCAGCAAGACCTGCTCCTCGTCCTCCTTGATCTTGCACAACACCCGTGCAAGGAGGCTCACTGGGGGAAACGCATACTTGCGTGGGCCCCGTGGCCAGCTGTGTGCCAGCGCATCTGAGCCGAGCATACCCCAGGTCAGGGAATAAAACTGGGCGCAGTGGGACGAGTCCCGAGAGGCGAACAGATCTATCTCTGCCTCCCCGAACTGGTCCCAAATCAGCTGGACCGACTGGGGATGGAGTCGCCATTCGCCGGAGATGGGACGGACCCGTGACAGCTCGTCGGCTGCCAGGTTCCGGTCTCCAGGAATGTATACTGCACGAAGGGACCTCAGGTGCTTCTGACTCCATATCAAGAGGTGGCGGGCGAGCTGCGACAACCGGCGCGAGCGTAGACCCCCCTGGTGGTTGATGTACGCTACTGCCGTAGTGTTGTCTGAACGGGCAAGCACGTGCTGGCCCGACAGCAACGCTCTGAAGCGGTGCAGGGCGAGCCGTACTGCCAGCAGCTAGAGGCAATTGATGTGCATGAGGCGCTGGGCTCCTGTCCAGGAACCGGCGGCTGCATGCCCATTGCACATGGCACCCCAACCCGTGGTAGATGCATCCGTGGAGACAACGAGATGCCTGGAAACTCGCTGGATAGGGACGCCAATCCGTAAGAAGCTGAGGTTCGACCACGAACAGAAGGTTCGGCGGCACGCTGGAGTCACTGGAACTCGGAGCGAACCGCGATGCCATGCCCACCTCGGGACTCGATCGCGAAGCCACAGCTGAAGCGGTCTCATATGAAGCCATATGGATGCCATATGCCCCAGGAGCCTCTGAAATAGTTTCAGTGGAACCGCACTCTTGCCCTCGAACTGTCGAAGACAAGTCAGCAGTGAGTGCGCGCGCTCGCTCGTGAGCTGCGCGGACATGGCGACCGAGTCTATCTCCATGCCGAGAAAAGAGATCCTCTGCACGGGGCAAAGTTTGCTCTTTTCCCGGTTGACCCGAAGGCCCAGACGGGCTAGGTGCCGGAGCACCAGGTCTCTGTGTTCGCAAACCTGAGCTCGAGAGTGTGCCAGTATCAGCCAGTCGTCGAGATAGTTCAGGATGCGAACCCCGTGCTCGCGAAGCGGAACAAGGGCTGCCTCGAGGATCTTCGTGAAGACGCGAGGGGACAGAGCTAACCCGAATGGGAGAACCGTGTACTGATATGCCTGGCCCTCGAAAGCAAACCGAAGAAACGGTCTGTGTCGAGGCAAAATGGAGACATGAAAGTACGCTCCTTCAGGTCGATCGGCTGCAAACCAATCCTGAAACCGAACGCATTCGAGAATGCGTTTGGCTGTGAGCATTTTGAACGGTAGTCGATGGAGAGAACGGTTCAACATGCGCAGGTCCAGGATCGGTCGTAACCCACCGGTCTTTTTGGGGACAATGAAGTAGGGGCTGTTAAACCCGGACCTCATCTCGGCTGGAGGGACCGTCTCGATTGCACCCTTCGCCAGCAGGGTCGCAATCTCCGCTCTCATGACCGGGGTATTGCCACCGACCATCGTGGAGCGAACTCCCCTGAAACGGGGAGGAGACCGTGCGAACTGAATCGCGTAGCCGAATCTGATCGTTCTGATGACCCAGCGGGACAGCCCGGGCAGCTCTAGCCAGGCTTCCAGGAAGTGAACCAGCGGGGTCATACGAACCACAGACGTCCCCCCGGAGGGGCAGCGAGGCGGGTCGACCGGCATGCGCGCAGGAGTTACCCCGCCCGGATGCACCGTCGAAGCCCGCTCCCCGACAGAAGGGACCAGGGAAGGCAGAGCGTTCCACGGGGGTCTGTTCTGCCGGGGGTCTGGAGATAGAGGGGGAAGAGATTGGCGTAGCCCGGGGACGACACACGCACCCTTCCGCGCCCTCAGAGACAGAGAGGAGTGTGTGGGCTGACGCACTGGGACGTCGAGCGCACCCACTCCAGTCTGTGGGCTCAGTGATGATGTCAAGTCTTTCTTTAACAAACTCAGGGTGCTGCCCACCCGTGGGTGAGCAGCGGGGAGCTGAGAACAAAAGATTCTCCCCCGGCCCTCCACCGGGGGAAGGAGGGGGCCTGCTACCGCCTCCTGGGAAAGACTCGACTTCGTCACTGAGCAGCCCGTGTCAGGATCGTCGCTTGGCCTGGCGTTTAGCGGGGCGTGCGGCCTGAGGGGGCTGCGACGCCTGCCTGCGGCCTCCTCCACGCCGTGGCCCGGGTGAAGGCTGCTGCTGGGGCCGGGCGGGAGGGAGGGGAGCCGCAGGGGGGCGTCCTCGGCGGCGAGCAGCGGGAGGCATCTGTGCCGGCGACTGGGTGGAGGCAGCAGCTGGTCGCCGGGGCAGAATGTGTTTAATTGCCTCCGTCTGCTTCTGGGCAGTGGAGAACTGCTGGGCGAAGTCCTCGACTGCACCGCCGAAAAGGCCAACCTGGGAGAGAGGGGCGTCGAGCAGACGAGTCCGCTCAGCGCTCCTAACGTCTGCCAGGTTGAGCCAGAGATGACGCTCCTGGACCACACTGGTGGCCATCACCTGACCAACGGCGCGAGCGGCCACTTTCGTTGCCCGGAGAGCAAGGTCAGTGGCGGACCGCAAATCTTTAAATGCCGTTGGATCAGTCCCGCCCTCGTACATGTCTCTGAGCATCTTCGCTTGAAAGACCTGCAAAGTGCTCAGGGCATGCAAAGCGGAGGCCGCCTGTCCCGCCGCTCTATAGGAACGCGCCGCCATAGCAGACGAGAACCCACAGGCTTTGGATGGGTGCTTAGGAGGACCACGGGAGGAGGCGCTCTGCGGACACAGCTGCATCACGACAGAGCGCTCCACCGGGGGCATCCCAGTGTACCCACGGGCGGCCCCACCATCGAGGGGGGGAAAGGCGGGGGAGAGATCGCGCTCTCGAGTGGACAGGGGAGCCCCCCAAGAGCGCGATAACTCCGCATGCAGCTCGGGGAAAAAAGGTATTGGAGTTGGCCGTGGCCTTGCGGCGGCAGCTTTGTCCAAAAACCAATTATCCATCCGTGAAAGATCGGGGCAGGACGGAGGTTTCCATTTTAGCCCGATACTCCCAGCGGCTCGAGACAGCATGGCCGTCAGCTCGGGATCCGATGCGGACAACGCTGGCACCCCCGAAGGAGGCAACGCAGCCGCATCCTCATCTCCCGAGGACTCTAGCCCGCCTAGTGATGCTGTGATAGACATTACATCATCATCTGGAGCGCTGCCCGAAGCAGCCGGCGCCGCCGAAGAGGCAGCCGACTGAATCGAGCTAACGCTCGCTGGCTCTCGCACTGAGGCGGGAGGTGTGGCCCGAGGAATCGTCGGGGCTTTATCCCACACCGTCACCTTAAAACCACCGGGTCCCCGGGTCGACGGGCCCCTTCCGTGAAGGAAGCCAATCGAGTAGGGGGGACCGGGGCTCTCACTCTAGTGAGATCATTGAGCCTCGACCTCAGTGAAGAGATGGTCATGTTCCCACAGAAAGAACATGAGTCATCCACGAACGCTGCTGCTGCATGCTGAATGCCCAGGCATACAAAGCAGCGCTCGTGACCATCAGATGACGACAGAAATCTACCACACCCAGAAGAGCACGGGCGAACCATCTTTAAAAAGACGTGCCGCGTGCAGCTCTTTCAATGAGAGGAGGAAATTCACTCTTTCAGCGCTGAGGCGACCAGGGAGAAGTGCAAAGTCTGGCAGACCACTGCTCAGATCGCAGGCGATGCAGAATCTCGCTGGGTACCGCCGTCACACCAACACTGAAGAGGACGCTCGTCTCGAAGAGTCTTGAAACAGTGAGAATGGCTTTCAGGAGTGAAGAGGTTCTCTTGGCTCCGAAGCGAAAACATACTGCGGTTGCGTTCACTTCCTCCTTTTATACTCACGGAGTAGGGCGGAGTACGCTAGGCAAATTTCCGCAGCCCCAAGGCATTGCATGCCATTGGCTCGTTTTTAAATACTCGAAGAGGATTGGCTTTCTATGCGAAACCCCCAATCTCCGTCACTTCTGACGTAACTCGAAGTGACTACGAAAGGGAACTCCAGCTTTATTTGCTGGAAATGTGTTCTGGTTCAAGATTCCTGTTACAACATATTCAGGAGCATTTATTACTGTTTATAGCTTCAGATATTATTGCAGATATTGCAGTGATTACACCTCTTCAGATACCTTCTTTTGTCTCTCTCTCCATAGATTCATCATCACGAACTAAAATGAGAGAACATTTCTTCAGTATTAGTGTTTGCTGGAAATGTGTTCTGGTACAAGATAAACTGCACATGAGCATTTATTTGCAGCTTAGTGAATAGCTTCAGATATTATTGCTGATATTGCAATAAATACTCAAACTAATAATGAGAGAAATATTCATTTGGAAGATTTATTTATGAATTGTTTCCACAAATACTCTAGAATTTGTAAACCACAATAAATGCAACTGTTAAGCTGATTCATATGTGGTTTTGATCATAAAAATGACATAGATTTAGTTTAATTACTTTTTTTAATGGTTTTCTTCCCTGAAATAAAAACATTAAATAAGGATAAAATACCTGCATCAAAAAAATATTAATTAATTTAATTATTTTAACCAGATGTATTTGCGCAGGGTCTCGGAGGACGTGTACTCACTCTCTGATGGCTGTGAATGGACATGTGGAGCAGCAGCCCCAGCACACCATGAAGAACTGCCCTCATCTGGAAACAACACCAGTCATACTTTCATGTGAGTGATTTCTACTAGGTCTCAGTGTCTTATGTTTACAAAAGTAATTATGATAAAGCATGCATGAAAAAAAAACCCAAGATGAATCATATATTTCATATATTTCAGAGCAAAATGAAAGTCTTAATATTCTAGTTAAAATGTATAAATAAATGATAGTTGTGGGATAAAAAATATCTAGAAGAAACTGTTATTAGTTTTACTTTAAATGCAATCTAGTGAATATGGTATATTAGTGTTAATGTACAGAAATAACATATTTTTAAGAATGTTTTTTCTCCTAGGTTAAAAAAAAGTGTTTAATAGCAATACCACCCTTTTGTGTTCTATCACAAATATACAGAATCATACTACAGCAGTATTTTTATATGAGAAACATGCACACCTGCTGAAGGACTAGTCTGGTCAGGACTCAATCCTGTGGGTTTCTCTTCTTGGTTTGATGAGTCGTGTTCACCTACTGGTACAAATCAGACATGGCATTGACACATACCATTTTAAACCCCTTTTGAAACTATTCTATATAGCCAAAGCTGTAAACAAGAAGAGAAGTAAACACCTACAGTTAGGACTGGGGCTTGTGTTTCTCTAAAGAGTTGAGTTCACCTGTCACGAGTGTACCACTAATATCAAACTCTCCAGCATGAAGAAACAGATTCTCATAATCCACACACACATATCTGTCTGTAACTTCAATTACACTATTACAGCATAAAGCAATGTTTTTTAAAGGGACAGTTCACCCAGAATTTCTGTCATCATTTACTCACCCTCCAAGTTGTTACTTTCTTCTGCTCAACACAAAAGATATTTTGAAATATATGGCTAACCAAAATGTTTCTGGTCCCTTGTGGCTATTATTATACATATTAACTTGAATTGCTGTCAGTTCCGCTTCTTATGCCCAGGGTCAAAGTTAATTCGTGAGGTCACCATTAAACTCCAGCTTATATAGCCTCATAAAACATCACACTGCTCCTACTGTTCATCCAGGAATTACTAAAGTTGTGTCAGTCTTTCAAGACTTTCAGATCAGGTTCGTATAAAATGATGATGTTCTTAATTATGGAAAGTGCTGTATCAGTGTTTGCTGAGGTTGTGAATTCTACAGTCATAAACTGATTTTCATCACATGTGATGATTTGGGGTTTCTATGTATGCACTGTGTGTAACCACCTCATTTTACCTTATCAAATCAAAATGTTTAAGAATGGACTGTATTTATACATTGTCATTCTGCAAAATTGAAACATTTCAACTATAAGCTCTGAAGCACAATGAGATATTTTCGATCAGGAGAGCCTATTCCTGTTCCTGCAGAGTTCAGCTGATCAAGTGTTCATGAAGCGTTATTTGATCAGGGGTAGAGATGAACTTTGCAGGAAGGCAGATCTTCAGGAACAGGATTGGGCAGCACTGTTATTTTATTTTGTTTGTTTGCCGTTATTCATCTT